GCTCTCAGTTTTTATGGGCTGCACTTTGCTTTGCGCTTTTATAGCGAGCGCAGTTAGTACGTCAAGTGCTGGCACCCTCCCTCCCGCTGCTCCGCCCGCTGTCTGTGCATCTGTCTATCCCTGTCGCTCTTTAGGCTTTGTGCCTGTGTCAATCTGTTTGATTTGCTTTTGATTGTGCGCACTTATGTCTTTATTGACAACGGCGTATGGCTACGTTATATAAATAATTTATTACATACCAACATTGAGCAATTTGTAATTGAACACACACATATGCGTACATGCATATGGGAGCTTTTGAATAACTTTGATTTGGCATCGAGAGCAATTGAAGAAATTGGCATAAACAAAAGCAAATCGCAAAAATGTTCATCGAGTGTTCGCTGTCTGTAATTGATGCACTTGTCACACATGAATATTTCAAATTGGTCAACAATAACAACAACAAGATACCCGCAAATTGCATTTTAATTTGGCAAACAACCAAACTGACCCACAAACACTTGGCGAACAATGCATTTTCAATTAGGAACAGGTACACACAGGTACAAGGTAAGTGCCTAATGCATATTGATTTATGCAAATATCAACTGACAAATCATTCAATTCATTGTGTTAAGTACTAAAAACGATAGTAAATTCATATGTATTTGGAGTCTTTTAGCATTGAAATTAAAGCCAGTATTAAATATTTTTTTTAATACTAAAATTAAAGTTTTGCAATTTTAATTTTAAATAAATATTTAAGATGTTTTAATTTGCATTTGGTATATAATTTAAGCTTTAATATGATATTCATAATTTATTTTTAATTTATTTATATATTTTATATATAAATTTATATTATATTTAAGCTTCAAAAATATTTTAATTTGAAATATATCACTTATTGTTAAATATTTATTTATAATTTTTAGTTTAAATAAAAGAAAAGCTTTGATCAAAAAAATAGTGCGACTAAGCATTAAATATTAACAAACACACTATTTTGAAAACTATTTGAAATGAATATTAACATTAACATTTATTTTTATTATTATTTTTTTTTAAATTTACAACCATTTATAATATATCTTTTTCCAAAAATTGTTTCTATTCGAACTTTATATATATATTATATTATTATTTAAGCAATTTCTTGAAAATAAATATAATAAAAACTTATTTTAAATATATTTCATATTAGTTTAACTATCTTATTAAATATCTATCCATAAAATAACTTTTAAAAACATAAGCAAATTTCTTTTATTTTTGTTTTGATAACAAATTTCTAATTTCTACAAAATTTTTTAATTTAATAAAAAGAAAGAATTGAAAAAATATTTTAAAGTAATAAACATAAAAATTATGTAATAATAATATATTATATTTAACAAATTTATTTGTGTATTATTTTTGTACATTATATTTACTATAAATAATTTTTAATTAATATAATTTAAATTCTATTTTACATATTTTATCTTTAAACATTTTCTTGTTAGTGCATTTATTTATATTTTCATATAATTTCCAATTATTGGAGCTCCTTCACATAAAATCTAGATTTTCTCTATAATAAACGATCTTTGGCTATGCGAATTTTCATCAATTTTTCTTTGTTTATGCTTTCTCCTCCTCTTTGGACACTGATTTTTGGGAAGCCGCGAATAATAAATTAGTTTTGGGACAGCGAACAAAACAAACTCATTTATAATGCCGCAAATTATTTGTCACTATTTTTGTGCACTTGTTATTGGAGCATTGAGAATAGCTCGATGGGGTATATCGGTTGTGTGGCTGTGTATGTAACAGGCAAGACTGTTAAGCTCTCAGGAGCAGACACATAGCTGAGCTATCAGCACCAAGCGCCAAGGCGCGGTATTTACTAGTCGGGCGCTCTCGATTAAATTACTCTTGTTTGCTGTTGTTGCGTTTGGCACAACTTTTTGCTGTTTATTGGGTTGAAACGCGTGCCACACACACGCACACACACACACAGACATTTGAGATGTGGTTACCATAATTAATTTGGCCACAAAGACATCCACAGCCAGCAACTACCGTGTGGCCCCCAAACAATGGCAAACAAATTGATTAATGACAGCGTATTAAACAATAATCGAGATAGGCCGCCGCTGCCGCAGCTGCCGTCACCTTGAGCGCCAAGGGGGCGGAGGGCGGGGTCAGCTACCAAAAAAAATGTGATTCGCCCACGCGCAAATTTTTGTTGTTTGCGCTTCGAGAAAAGGTTTTTATCAGCAGGCCAAAAATTTGCTGTTATTGTTATTGTTATAGTTGTTGTTGTTGTTGTTGTTGTGCGCTCAAAACAATTCATTTAAATAATAGCTGGGCCACTTGGCCAGCCCAGTGGGAAGGAAGCGAATCATTTTTCATATGAAAAGCAAATTAATAACGTGTAATTAATATTTTGGTTTAACGGAATTGTAATGTGTGCGCACCTTTATCTGTATCTTTATCTTTATCTATAAATGTATTTAAATATGCTGCCATTTCTGTGACAGTGAAGCTTGGCTAAGCTGGAAATGTAAAGCAAATGCCGAGTAGAAAAATTAAGACATGAAATCTAGAAATTAATTGCGAAATGTTGCCACAAGTGCGAACTAAATAGTTCATTTAAGTAACTAGTTCAGTTCGCGAGCTACAAAGATTTTTAAGATCATCATAAATTAGGATTTTATTAAAATTATTCAGTGAATTTTATTTGTTTATATTTTTATTTTTTATATATTTATATTTACATAATTTGTTGTATATCTAATTATTTATTAATAATATATAATAATTAAAATATATCATAATAGATTTGGGATATTTTTTACAATAAAGTTTAGTTTTAAAAACTTAAATAGTTACTTAAAAATCAATCGATATTTTTTAAATATTTGCTTTCGTTTTATACAAAATATTTAAATTTAAAATTTAAATATTAATGAAATTAAATAAATAAAAAATCAATCTTAAATTTATTTATTTCTTTTTCAATATTTTTAAAAATATTTATTTTACTTTTTGCTGTTATTTTAAATTTAAAAAATTATTTTAGCCTTTAAATATAAAATTTAATTAAATACGCTTTAATTAATTTTTTTGCAATTAGTCCTTCAAGCTGTAACTGCTCATATCAACAATGCCCTCTTAGTGACTCTCCAACTGTAATTAGTGCCACTCAGGTTTGACAAGCACCTGCAGCACTGAAAGAGTTTCAACTGCAGCAAAACATCTTTAATTTCAGCATATTCCAGGCGTAATTCGTGTGTAAGAAGTATATGTAGATTAATATGTGTGTGTGTGTATGTGCACACATTCCCTAAAGGCAAACTTTATTTATGCAGGCGCACACACACACACAATGCATCAACCCCCAACGCTGCTGAAAGCAACCCCAAGGCATTTGCTCTACGCCTCATACCTCACACCTCGGCCCACCCCCTCCCTCGATCGCCTGCCATCCATCCACATGCACTTCACGGCTTGCACTCTCTCAATTATGACTTAATTCATATCTAATGGATATTTTCTGTGAAAATTTCGTGATTAATCGCTGCCTGGAGGCCGAGTCAGGACATGTCATTTGGGGGTTGCTCGCAGCAGAAGGAGTCTGCGACTGCGACTGCAGTTGTTCACACATGTTCACAAAACAACAAAAAAAAAAAAACGATGAAGTGTTGGGGCAACTGTCGAACAATGGCGCACCACTCGAACCACTCGCACCACCCGCTGCAATAACTCAGCTCTGAAACTTTTCGAGTTCTTTTTACATTTTCACAAATTTTTGCTATTAATGCTACCGCCTCAATTGTGGGGGCGTGGCGACATACTTATTCAGCATATGCGACGGCGGCGACGTGTTGCAACTTCCGTGCTGCAAAAACTGATGATGTCGCATGTTACTTTAATACCTTAAAAAACAACAACAGCAACAACAACAACAAACTGCATTTGCAGGCGGCTTTTCTTATCTATGGCACGGCAGCGCCATCTGTGTGTGTTTAGCGGAACTAGCGCGCTAAGGAAAAACTTGCTGCGAATGCATTTTTATCTAAGCGATGAGAGAGAGAGCGAACATGTGTGAGAGAGCATCGAGCTTGAGTGACTGTGAATGCCGGCAAAACAGAGCACAAATTTGCGCTCTCTCTCTTCCGCACTCTCCCACTCAACGCTGGCTCTCTGTTTATCTTTGGCAATGCATTCTATTTGCTTAGCTTGCTGTTGTTGTTGTTGTTGACCGCTCCCAAAAAAATCTGATTTGCATATTTTGTGTGCACTTCAAGCCGCATACAATTTCAATTGCTATTTGCTGATAAGCTGATAAGAATTGAGAGTTATTAACCTATTAGAATTTATAGTGGAATTCTTTGTGTTAAATGTGTTCCAATTGGAACAAGGGTATGGAATAGAAGAGCAATGAAAATTAATGGAATTTTGTATTTAATTTCAAATAGTTAGGAATAAATAAAATTTAATTTTTTATTTAACGGTATATGGAATTTATAATAAAAAAATAAATTTATTTCACAAATTTATCCAAAATCTTGCCCAGTAGATCAATTTGCCTGCTTAACAACTTCATTGAATCAGCAAATTATTTGTCTCACATGGCGCCTAAGCACACCTGTATGCCCACTACACATTCTTAGCAGACCAATTGAGCACGCACACATACTCACACCCTCAATTGACACCCACAAATGTTGTAAAAACCCAAAAAAAGCGAAAACAAATGTTCAATGGGCCAGCGCTTAGCCAAGTTTCAAACCTTGCACACTCAGGCTTATCTAACTCAATGAGAATCCAATTTGAGTATTTCTCAGGAACGCTCTCTGGCTTGTGTTCACTCAACGCTTATCAACTGCTCTCAGATAAATTTTACACTACCCAATTCGCTGGCTGCGCTTCGTGTTCCTAGACTTTCGTGCGCTCGTGCGCTCGTCGCACGACGAGAGCGAGAGCGAGTGTATGAGCGTGGGGGCTGCTGGCAGATAATTTTAGTTCATAAACAAGTTTCGTTGCGTGCGATGCCCGTCGCGCTCTCAGATACTTTTTGCCAGTTGAGCCGAGTACGTGAACGTGTCTGGACGTTTTTATGGACAAGCGTTGTGGAGAGTCAGCGAAACTGAAACCGAAACCGAAACCGAAACACAAAACCGTTACCGTTAACCGAAACTAGCGAAATCAAAGTCAAAAACAAAAACTCAAAACTGAACCGTTAGCCGTTAACCCATACAGTTTTCATTTAGTTGTGTGTTCATCAAGTGCAACGCGGTATCTCGCGCGCGTGCAAAATTTTGCTCTAGTTCCCCCACCTCTCTCACACACACACACAGTCGCACTCACACTGCTGTCCTCTCTGTCCGCTGCAGCTGCTGTGCCTAGTTATGAGCGTTAACCCGTTCGCGTTGCGGCGTGCGTGCGTCTTGTTATTGTTGTTTTTTTAGGCAATTGCCAAAAACGTTTTGCCATTCATCATCACAAACAAAAACAAAAACAATTACAAAGCCGAGCTAATTTTCGCGTGTTACTTTTGTTCAACGACTTTTGTTTTTCCGCAAATTTTCCAAGCGTAAGTTTTAATTAAGTTAACTTTAAGCTTTATTAATGTCCAACAGCTTGTGCTCTAGCTATATTTTTTAGCTTCCTTTTTTTTTTTTGGCTGTCAGTAAGCAGCTCCCATGTAATTTATATCTTTAAATTTGTTGTCCGGCAATCGATAAGGTCTCCTTCTTCTTCTTCTTTTGTTTTGGTGAAAATTTACAATCATTAATTATGTCATTCCCGAAAAGAAATACTTTGGGAAAACAGGTTTGCGTTTCGTTAGAAGATCTTAAAGCTTGTGCAGTTCCTGGAACTTTGGCTCTTTGGTGTTGTTCCTCGCACTTAGATGTGAATCTGCGGCAACTCTTCATGAATGAAGCGCGATCTGGGCTTGGGCAGCTGTGGGGCGTGGACACTATTACATGTGTTTCTCTCTTTGCGTGTGTGTGTGTGTTGGTCTTTATGTGGAAATACTTGACACTTCTGCAGAACAGTTACCATTTGACTTGACTTCTTCTTGAGCTGCTGCGTTGCTGAGCTGATGTGTGTGCTAGCTGGGCGTGTTTCTCAGCCTCTTTGTTTGTGCCCAGAACCGTTGCTTAATGGCCCAAACGTGAGCTGGCATAACGCTGGCCTAGACCACAAGTTGTGTAACAGAAATGAGCAGACCAGAATGCCTTGACTTTTTACTAAAGCAGAGTTTTGACAAATCTTTAGCTCTTTTTGAATACTACTCCAGGTACTACTATTTTTATGAACAGAAGATTTATAATGAAACTTCCTAAAATACTCTAAAGTAAATTCTTTTTTTTTCTTAGCATTCTATTTTGAACAAAAAGTATGCATCTTTTTATTTGTTAACAGAAAAAATATTTTCTTATTTTATTATAATTAAGTTTTGTGCACTGCAGCGCTACTATTTTTATGAACAAGGCGCACTTTAATGTCTTAACAAATGACTCTTAATTTTGTTGAACTCATAAACATTTTTAGTTTATATTATTTTATAATCAAATGGCAAATCCTTATTTAACATATTTTATAATTTATTTATTGTTAGCCTTAACAGCTTCTAACATATAATAAAGGTAAATAGTATCACTCGTATTTGGTCACCCTGCATAGACTCTAGCATTTGCTCTGATTTGATTCCAATTAGAATTAAGTTCGTTCGCTTCGCTCGCGCTGTTTGGCCATTGATTACCCTAAATTGAACGCACAGTGAGGCGTTACACAACACTTGCAACACTGCCACACGCAGCGAACTTTTGTAATCGCATTAGCAAAACGCCAGTTCGCAGTTTGCAACATGAATGAAAAGTCGAAAAGGAAAATTGATGTTTAGAGTAAAATCAGCTAAACAAACGCTGCTAATTATGCGCACGCTGACTGTTCACATCAGCAGCAGCAGCAGCAGGAATATATGATCAAAGACTACATCTAAATACACATATAGATATGTATCTATATATTTGTTTATTTGTTGACGCGTGTGTGTTTTCATGCCACTTGAGCTGGTGTTGCATAAGCGCGCCACAAACATTTTCCGGTATGCCGCATGCTTTTTTTAACCTTGATTAAGTTGACGCTCTAATGATGCTGCTAATGCTGCTGATAATGTTCCTGCTGATTACAATAATGATGATGATGATGATGATGATGCTGCTGCTGCTGCTGCTGAGTGGGGGCAGCCATAACATCATTAGCAGCCGCTCGCTCACATTTCTAACACCGGTACGTGGCTCTCTCACGGCGTCTCGTATTTTTAATTGCCGCCCAGCACTTAGCTAATGTAATTTATATGACTTCTTATGCTCTAAAAGCTTTAAACGTAGCCAAAAAAGAAAAAAAAAACATAAAACAACAACAACAACAATAAGCAGCAGCAAAGTGCAGCAGCCGAGTTCTAAAAGATGCGAGGCAGAAAAAACTTTTGTTTATATTTACCTAACATTGTACTTGAAAGATATTTTCGTTACTTTTTGTGGCACTTGGCCCCTCACCCCGCCCTCGTCTGACTGTTTATGGCTCTTTCTGTTTGTTTATCTAATGGCTAAAAAATATTTAAGCTGTAAAATTGCTGCCGTGAGCTGGCTGAAAGCAGAAAAAAAAAGTTGATTTTTTTCTCCGGTATTTACAGAAGTCATAAATACCTTTCGAGACTGCCGAGGCGCAGCAGAACAACAAAAAAATTCTAAAGGTTTAGATTTGGGCAGAAATTGAAACTCGGACTGTGACTCGGACTCCGTCTAGGCATCAGCCTCAGCCTCAGCCTCAGCCTCAGCCTCAGCCTCGTCTCTTGATAAGCTCGCACATAAAACTTTGCCCAAAACACAATTTTCCTCTCGCTATATTTGAAATTTATGTAAATGTTTTAGCTGCCTCGGCCTCAGCCTCAGCCTGAGCCTCTGCATCTCTCGCTTATCTCGACTGCTTTTCCTGTAGGTAATTAAAAAGTTTTTGCTGCTCGTCTGCTCAGATTAGCTAATGCAGGTTGATATATATGTGTGTCTGTGTGTGTGTGTGTGCTTGGCCTTGAAATCGTTGTATAAATCTTGTTAGTGTTTAGTTTTTGGGCCGCTTGAATGGCATGGAGGCCACTGATAAGGCAGTAGGAGTAGACCTGAAGCTGGGCCATAAGTAGCGGTACCTTTGTTTTGATATTAAGTAACGTTTTAATTAGATAAGTTAGCTCGAAATGTGGGCGGCGGAGAGGGAATGAGACGAACTGAGAAGAGTGGGAAGTATGCAAAGAAGAGTGAGAGCAATGAGAAAAGAGAACAAAAATTAGAGCAAAAAGAAGAGACTGGAAAGAGAAGAGAGAGAGAGAGAGAAGAAAGCGTGAAGACTGCAGAAGAGAAAAGAGTAGACAGAAGGCTTAAGAGTCTAAGAGATGGAAGACAATTGATAAAATAGAAGAGAAAAGACAGAGTAGTCACTACTATTTTAATGAACAATTAAATTTTAATAATTTATCTGAAGTGCACGAGCTCAGTTTATAGTTAAAATATTTTTAAATCATTAAAAATTATATAATCTAAATATTCGTTTCAAATTTTTTCAAAATATTGTTTTTATTGCTAAATTGTTGCTGTCCAATATTTAGTGCTTAGTTGCACTACTATTTTTCTGAACACAGCGAATATATCTATAGTCAACTTGCGAATCGTGCTCATTACAAACTTCCATTCATCAGTCAAGTCACTAATAGCATAGACAGCGCTGCTTAGTGACTGGTAACAAGTTGTTCGACTTCATCTATTTTGCTTTTGTGTTCTGACAGCTCGAGTCGTAATTATAACTGAGCTCAGCGCCTGCTCATCGACAGCCTGTGTTTAGCATAGATTTGTCTGTTTGTCTGTGCCCTCAGTCCATATTTCGCAGCACTTCCAATTCTCAAGCTAACACATTCCAGAACCATATCATTTGGCCAATCAATTAGGCATTCCGATCTTAGTGTTCGACTTGGACTTGGACTTGGCTAATCAGATGTTGTGGCTGCAATTAATAAAAGCCACAAGCAGAGTTCAATAGCAGCGAGCGAGTATTGAATGTCAGTTTAAAACACGAGTATTGAATGTCAGTTTAAAACAAAGACTTGACCTTGTCGGAGCTCATGGAACAAAAGATCATTAGTTGGAGCGTCTAGTAAAAACGTTTGATTGCCCATAATTATGGCCAAGTTAAAATGACAGAGGAGACGCCGCCGGGTCTCAAGTTGTTAGCCCTTGTGCCAAAATTAGTTTAAACGTCTTCAGACGACGCCCGAGTGCGAGGCGGCGGACAAAACTAGCTGGCAAACTTTCATGTGGCATGCATTTTTTATGGCTTAATTAAGAGGGAGAAAGAGAGAGAAAGAAAGGAGACAGAGAGTCTGTCTACAAAATAATCTAGATAAAGTGATGTAAGCAGCAAAAGAGACACAGAAACACACGCACACACACAGAGCGCTAATTGTGCCTTGTATGTTTGCTGCGTACAACGCGTCGCATACATAATATAATTAATAACCATAAATGTTAATTGCGCATACGCCACGTAAGGCAACTATTTGCAAGTCTTACGCTTTGCTTTATGGCCGTCGCCTGGCTCACTATCAGCTGTGTGCGCTTGTCAATAGCTTTTCGTCAGACTATTTATAGACACGTGTCCTGCAAATATGTTTGCCTAGGTGAAAAGTGTGCGTTATGAAAACATTTACACGGCGCCTTTTCCGCATCCTTTGTGTGTGTGTGTGGGAGTTTGTGGGTCTCTGCTTTGTGCCCAAAGTTTTTGTCAGTTAATTAAGCAAATATTTTTTTGTTTACCGAGTTAATTTGCTTTGTAGACCCAACCTGGGACCCTGGCGCATAACCCATTCCCATTCACACACAAATATTGTTGACATGTGCGGGTGGCTTCGACTCTGCTGTTGCTTTCGAAATTAACTTGGCTTAATTTGCGAGTGGCTTTTTGGGCCAGCGAGCAAAGTTTTGTACCTAAGATAGTTTGGGCCGTTTAATCGCTTGGCTAGGCTTAGTGGCTTAGCCATTCAGTCCAGAGGCCCGAAAGCATTTAATTTTAACTCGACTTTAAAGACGAGTCGCGCACTCCCTCTCCCTTTCTCTCTCTCTCTCTCTCTCTCTTTGTTTCGCCTTGTGACATTTGGAAATAGCTTTGTGTTTATTTTGTGAAACTTGGCTGCTGATAAAGCAAAAATTTAACTTTTGCCACAAGTATCAATAAACCCATAAATTTTAAAAAGCACAACTGAAACACAAAATAAATAGCAAAGAAATTGTTGCTGCTGCTGCTCTTGTTGTTGTTGTCAGCCCACAGATTTATTATATATATATACAGTTATAGATATATATTCGTATTATGTTTTATTTGGACTGCGCTTGTTTTCCGGGGGCGTCAACTATGTGGCCACAGCCAAACTTCTCCTTCTCCCTCTCCCTCTGCTGCCTTTTTTAACTTATCTGTTTTGTCAAGTTCGAGTGTAACAAATTTTTGCATATTTTGTCATAAATTTTGTGGTTCCATTTT